CCCATGTGACAGGACAGTGGGTGCAGCCAGGCTGGCAAAACCACAATCGGCTGACCACGTGCTACAGAAAATACAGATGTAGCATGTTCAAAGACCTTTTACATTTATGCAAATCTCTTGTTAATGAGTTTCCTTCTGCAGTGAGTTTTACGGCACTTTTAAATGGGGCAGGAGGGTGTAAAATGTCAGACACTCACATATCTGCTCCCCTCCTTACTTAAGTTTCTCTATCACTCCTTTTTTCTTTCATTCACGCACATAGATGAATGAAGAAATAGGACATGAGTGCTATTCTCCCTCAGCCCTCCCTTCCTCCACCTTATTCCTTCTCCATCCCATTTTTATCCTTTTTTCTCCTCCCCTCTCAGCTCAATTAGTCTCTTTTCCACCCTGGTCCACTGATCCCTCTTTAAACTGATTTCAGTCTTATTCCCATTCCCTACTCCCTTGCCTCTCCGGTTGCCTGCCTCATGACTCATGGAGGATATTTTTCAGTGTCACAATCAGTCGGAAAGTTGGGTAAATATAGATCAGAACCCTTAAAGACGTAGTACGTGTGAGTGAGCACATATCACGTTTGACTACACTGGACACGCCAGTGGGAGGGGTTTTTGCAGAGTCGTCATTTCTCTTGGCAAAGTAAGGCAATTTACCTGCCTGGGAGCACGTCGCCAGGTCTTAAAGCTGGCAAGACTTTTAATCACACCTCCACTGGTCTAAATTTTAATTCGGCTGTGAGAGCGTTCTTAAATCTGATCTCATTTTAAACATTTCTCAGTCAGAGAGACATTACATTAATTCTTTGTACGTCCGGATCATTACATTAGAAAACATACACTTGTGAATTGTGCACTGTGAGTTGAATCCTTTTGTTAAAACATAACAAAACCTTTAATGCCCTTTGTGGAAAGACAAAAATGGGGTGTGGCATGTTAATGTGCAAATAAAAAAGTGCAAATTAAAAAGGACTTATGGAAAACACTTGTATGGTCATTTTAAAACTTTAATCAATATTTTATTATATTAACAATAGACTAAAAGACTATTTCTGGTGAAATACGTTGAAATAGTGAAAGAGATTTTTAAAAGTTGGTGGACAGAAAAACAGAGCTAAAAGAAGAGTGAATTCACTAGTTCTTGCTTTTTATTACAGGCATTTATTTGCACATCTATGCAGTCAAGCATGATCATGAGAACTAGATAAAATAAAATACATATCAGAAAATGAATGTAATGCAATACAGAGCATTCTCATAGAGAATAACCAATAAACAAACATCTCACAAACACAAAATATATCTTGCATAATCCAATACTTTGAATGCTATAAGCTGTTAAATTTACAGATAATTAGCTTGCTGAGCTTTCACTGAAACACAGGTAGGCTATAAAGTTATCTATCATGTGAACTCATGATACGCATTTAGCTGTAAGCGACTGTGGAAACATACGGAGAACTCTGCATACCTCATTGGCTGCGTTAACTCAAGGGGAGTAAGAAAGGAAACTTCAAGCTTCGAGTCTTAATCCAAATCTTGATAAACATTACTACACAGCATCATAATTTAACATCATCCTCTGTTTATCCTGCCAAGTGCTCTGTCACTACTGGTGATAATAGAGTGTAAATCTGCCCCACTGTAACACTAAAACATTGGTGCTGCTATTGAAATACTATACAGGTCCTCAAAATGTAAATGATTCTTATTTTAAACTCAAAATGATAAATTAAGTTGAACTCTATAACTGATCCTGATGGCAGCTACACAATTAATTAACACAACTCCATATTACTGCTAATGTTACGCCATATTTGCTGAGTGTGTAAACAGGCAAGTGTTTAGGTTTGCCATTTTTTTTTTGTAAGGTGATGTCAATGATGTGTTTAAAGGGGCCAAAATATAAGTTGATGCAGGTGTTTCATTTTATTTTTATTTTATTTTTCACAAGAGGCTCTTTTTGTTCTAATTTTGGTCAGTATACGTCACATCATTATTCATGTGTATGTAACACTGCTGGGAACAGTTTTACAACAGTTCAATGAGGCCAAATACATATAGCCTCAGGCAGCTTGAAGGGCCCAACATTAACCCAATTAAATATTATTGGATATTTTGTGGTCTAAATAAAAGGAGCAAAACGTAAAAAAACTGGTTTTATATTTGCGTATCCTTGTTCTAATTGGTAGCCGTTCTCAGGGGAACATATGGGTCAAACAATTCTGGATTGGTGGCTGTTGAGCATATTAACCAAACCTATAGGTGAATTATGGCCCAAACTAATATGGTTGTAATGTAAATTTCAATTCAAGAGAAAATTTGAAAATACTATGGTGTGGTGACAGGATCAACAGTGTCACTATATCTTGTGGTTTGTATGTGGTGTGTTAGTCACTCTCCTGCAATGACTTGTTTAATTTAAAGAAGGCAGAGTTGCATCATCAGCAAACAGCATAAGACTGCAGATTACATTCAACACTTTTCATTGAAACTTTTCCCAGATAAGAACACCGGCTCTGATAAATCCTCAATCACGTTTTTCCACCCTATTCTCTTTACAATCTACCACGCGTGACAAGGAACTGTCCAACGTCCAAATGGGAGTCTAGGAGTGATAAGACTTTTTTTAAATTGGAATTGAAAGGAAAAGGAAGTAACTTCCGCACACACACACACACACACACACACACACACACACACACAGAGTTTACACTTGCCACTGGTGAATTAATCTTTGATGTGCACGATGAAGGATTTTCTCTTTGCTCTTAAAGGGTCAGAATATGTTTTAAAGGTTACATAAAACAAGGATTAATGTACTTCTCCTTACCATAATAACACTCAGCTGTTCTCTGGGCTTGAAGAATCACATTATATGTTTATACATTAGAGAAATAACAACCTCTTTAAAGACTGTGAAAGGCCAATTAATTCAGGGGGTTATTTGAACAAAGTGTGTGTTGATGTTGGATTTTCTTTAACTGTAATTAACTAAAATGATACATTGTATATGTGTGTGTATATTGTATTGCCCCTCCAGAAAACTATATACATACATTTTTGGTGGCATCACACTTACAATCACCCAAACAATAAGTAATTTTGCCCCCTTTGATATCTTTTACATGTCAGATTAAATTAAGTCCAAAGTGATGATGAATCAACACAGTTTAGCCAACGGGCTAGACATGTGGCTAGGCTGCTCGCTGGGTTCTGTGTTTCTGGGAAATTACAGATTATATGATTTATAACATTCTTTGGGGTGTTTTAGCTAGTGAAGGGGGCCCCCACAATTTGCAGGGATTATATGGTGCGCTTTAAATAGGTATGCACATAAAGAGAATGAGTCAGGGCGAGCAGAGCAGAGCATCATTGCCATGCAGGAGCTAATCTAGTTGGAAGCAGCAAGCAATGGGGATAAGAAGGAGAAAGTTTCAAAACAAACATGGCCAAAGAGCCAAAAACCTCCACTTAATCTACATTCATACAGGCTAGATTTTGTCCAGGGGCCTAGAGATCAGCTACGTGTCACTAAGTAAGTCACTAATCCCGTGCTCTAGTAGCTAAAACTGCTCTTTGTCCTCCCTGCTGGACTAAATGGAGACAGGTGACGTGATAATCTGACTGTTTTCCGTTTGGCTTCAGTTTGTTGTAAAATGTCTGTTACAGCAACAGGCCCAAAAAGTGAGAATTTCTTTGCCAAGAAAAGAGGGACTTTAGAAAAAACTGGTCTAGTGAAGTGGCAGAAAGAGCGGCCCATAAACCAAAACCGGAAACATGTTTCAGGTACCTTTGTTCCAGGTAATGTTTCTGAGTTTCTGAAAAGGTTCCTGGCTTCCTGGTAAAGTTCCTGTGGTGGAAAAGGGCCAATAGAGGTGGTAGCCCAATACTGCAGTCAATCCAGAGTTTTCATTACATGCATTTTTATGAGGCATTGTTTCTTGATGTAAGTAGATAGCTCCTCAATCACCTCGCTCAGTTAGTCAAGTGAAACATCACCTTAAAAATGACACCAGTTTAAGAGATGTGATTCAGGATTTTTGCATGATACTGAACAACCGGTGAGCTGATGATCCAGAAAGGCTGGTTTAAGTAATAGATCCATTAGTTTCTTGGTAATTGCGAGGTAAACAGTATCATGACCCTATTAATGCTTCAAAATAACCTACTAAAAGGGAATGTTTCCTTGATGATTCTGCATTGTGTTGCAGCAAAACTTCAGGTTAAACTTTTCTGACTGACTTTTCCTGGAGCCCTTTGTGGCAGAATGAGGGAGGTTGCATGTTTTCCAACTGTGCAAATGTCAGTGATGTAATGTACTGTGATGCTAAATTCACCCTAAGTTTAATGAGCATTCATTGTAGATAGAATGATGTTTTTGTGCAATTATGGGCAGAGATGGTCCTACCCTAACTTTAACCACACCACGCCGTTACTTTAGTCCAGCCATCTCTTACCAGCACCATAACTGCTTTAAACTTGATCTTAAGTAAAAAACCCAGATTTTTTTTAAAACCCAGCCCTCCAATCACAGGTGCTTCTGCCCATAATGTGCAGGAAAACATTTAATGTTTTCTTCCTTAACCATTACCTAAACAAATCGCTTGCGTTGCGTAATTCTAATAGTTTGTTCCCATGACAGATTATTTTGCTGTTACATAATCCTTTGGCAACTGAAAAATGTTATCTTATAGGTATCACAACAATTTCTCAGAAATGTTGTCGTTTCACCCAGAATCTTCTAAATGGTTATCTACAGATTGATTTAACAGATGAAATTACTGCACACTGCTTCAAAGTGCCATTTTATTCATAAGTCTGAATATCTGCCTGTCTGTCATGAAACGCGTGCAGGAATTTCTTGTTTCTCTGATCTATTTCCTTTCAGATTACATTCTGCAGGGACTCTTAGACGTGTGACCATCAGTTTGCCACACAAAAACATGGATAACTCATGTTGCCTAATGAAATCTCTTGAAAACACAGCATTCACAACACAGCAACCTTTTTCTTATTTTATATAAAAACAATATAATTTGAAAATAAATATGTTTACTGTTTTACATAGACACAGAAAACATGTTAATAGTGAAGTAGAGACAAAAATAACTAATAATGAGGGCTCTATGACTGATGGCAGAAAGGATGAAAATTGTTATCCAAATTTAAAACAGTGGTATTGTGGTAGTGTATGCTGAGCTGCTAGCAGTAATTTATTTGTATTTGCATCTTGAGGACGGACAAAACACAGGTCCACTACTTATTTAAATACTTAAATACAACTTACTAACACTTGCACACAGATGTGCACACCGGCAAATGCACGTGCAACACACACTCATACACACATGTACACAAACACACAGATACACACAAATTCTACACAGCACCCACATCCTTAGATAAGAGGGGATGAAAAATTCAGAGGTGATGTCATCAGCACACCAGTACAAATGATCCATTTAGGGAATGTTAACAAATCATTTTTGATTTTTCTTTTTGTTCTGTTTGAGTCGTAGAAAAGCACAGAGGGTCTCTGCTCTGCTGAGCTACAGATACATAACACTGCATATATAAATAGACCAAATTAAATATGGGTAGAAGACTGAATACTGAAAATACTCTATAACATTATAAATTATCTAGAATGGACTATTAGGCATATTAAGTACAAGTACATGTACAGGTTCAGATAAGAAGATATGTAATCAATAGATTCTGTATTGAGTTCAACTACTTTGACAATCCCCTCTCCTGAAAAAGGAAACAAAAATAATTTAAAAAGCAGTCGAAAGATTTCTCAGTACATTTTGTGAGGCACAGTTTCTCAAATGGAATCAAACTACAGTATTGGATGTTTTCAGTGGTTTTCATGTAGGGCATAGCAAAATATTAGATGCTATATTGACAACCAGTATCCCTTTAAAAGTATATGGCACTCCAGAGTCTCTTCTCCTGCAGGCTGATCACAATGGAGACATTGTGTAAGTCCACGTCAGTCCTGCAATGTCCTCACAGGAGAGGAAGTGATATCGTGTAGAGAAGGTTTCAAGATGTCCATCAGCTGTCCCGCTTGTCCTGCTGTACTCCAAAAGCAAAAGTAGACACTGACAGACGAAAACCCATCCATCATTTTTTAAATGCTCCCTTGTCCTCTTCAGCCTCACTTGCTGTTTTAGCAGTTAAATATATCTTAGATTGAGAGGTTTTGAAATTTATGATTGACACACAACCACAGTAGACTCATATCCAGTGAAGTAATTGCATACAAGGAATTGACAACAAGACTACACCTGCATCACAAGCCTGTTAGATATGCAAAACCACATGGCGGCTATTGACGGATTTAGTTATTTGTTTCTGTAGCAGCATAACAATTCTGTACTCTTTTTTTCTTTTAACATGGTCTATATACACACAGATTGCAGTGGGAGGAAACTTCAGTTCTGTCTTTCTTTTTTGTTCTCTCAGTCAGTCCAAGGGGAATGCTTTCCACAGAAAAGAAGAGCTTACGGTTCAACGGCCAAAGTGCTGTGCTCTGAAATATCTCTAGAATATTCCTTCATTTTGTACATCTGGTGCTCCCACCTCTTTCATCTTCTCGGCTTGTCACATCTAAACAAGAGGAAAAGAATGAACAGTTATAGGACAGAGAAAAGTAGACAGGAGTGTTTTCAGTTCATTAGCACTTATTTGGGCTCATCTTTGTGTCCATGTGACAAATGACATTGTGGTTTCGAATGAGACTTTAATCCTACTGGAACAGCCACTTTGGCTCTCTTCACCAACAGCACTTACTTGCAGGTCCTCTCGTTGAGCTCTAGCTGGCGTTCTTTACAGTATTCATCTGTGTGTTTGCAGGAGCACCGGCAGGTTGCAGGATCCTGCACGAACAAACGTTTTCGCCTCTCTGAGCAGTGATCACAGCATGGCTCACAAACACTGGACAGGGACAGACACGGACAAAGGTGGGGAGGAAGAGGGAGAGAGGCAGATTATCACAGTGTACAATTACCACCCATAAGAAAGGGCGCCCTTAGGTCAACCCTTTCGTATGCTCCAGTTTGCTCTTCCAAGCCACTGCCCGACAAGTTGTACTCGTGACAGTTGGGTAGTATTGCACACAGATTCCCACAGAGCGGGCAGACATTCAAGCAGTAAAATTACCCTCCCCCACGCCCCCCCAAACCCTCCTTCGTTGATTGGACCGCTCACAAATGCCTTGCGCGTGTTAGACATGCAGTGAGCTAAGCTCTGGATTGGTTCATGCAACACAAAAAGACACATATTGCAGGTCAATGACAGCACACTTCTTGCTCTCACTCTTACAAATGGTCAACTCTTGATAAAGAAGACTCAAGGGTCTGCTTGGTGCACTGTTAAGAAAGATTTCATTTTATTGAGTGAAAACTGAGAACTATATTTCCCACAGAGACATTAGATTCAGAACAGAGGCTGGAAGTGGTTTGAATGACATTTCTTAGCAGGGAGTAGAAAATAGACAGATGAAGGCTCAGATACTCCATTGACATCTTAATATACAAATTACAAATTAACACAAAGACACGTATTCTTTCACAGTATGAGCACCGAAGAAACATCATCTTTATATTATTTTTGAATAAAATACGGGTGCTTTTGTATAGTTTCAAAAGAGACAAAAGCAGGAAAAGAAAGACACAAACCAGTACTTGCTAAACAATTTGCTGGTTTACAAATCCCCCCTAGCAAAAAGAAAAAAAGGCAATAGATAGCCATCAGTCATATCTTTACATTACATAAAACGTACCAGCATTATGCATGAGACAGCAAAACCTGTTTGTAAAGATAAAAAGAACAAAGAGTGGAAAGAGACAGGTACGAGACACAGCAAAGCGGCACAGACTCAACACTGAACACAGGACTATGATTACAATCCTGGTGATCCCAGCATAGATACCAGGACAGTCTGAGCCAGTCTGCAAAGCCATGCTGGTGGAGCTGTGATCTGTTTCAGTAGAAGGTTCAAGTTACAGCTAACAGCTGATCTGTTTATTCCAGCTTATTTAAACATGTCCAATATCAATCATACAACTACCTATCTGATGAAGATAACTTGTACCTCAAGTTTCTACTGTTTTTAATGATACACTGCTGTATCTCATCCCAACCATTATCCCAGTCTCATCCACAGAGAGAGATTTTCTTGCAAACAAGGAGCTGGTAAGGTTGGGGGAGATTAGATGGGTATTTTTTTTAACGGGTGGAGATGGGTTAGGATTCAATTCTTATGAGGTGGAATAAGGCTAGGATGTCTGCTGTATTTGCCTGGTTATATCTGTTATATAAAGTTTTGCTAAAGCTAAGTTAGCAAAACGTGTTAGCAAACAAGGCAGAGTATGTAGAACATGACTGACGAGACAAAATTAGGACAATACGAGGAAGCAACATGCTAATTGCTGTGGCTAACGGGCAAATTAAATGCTGCAAATTAAAAGGGGCAAAAAAGCTCCTCCCAAATGAGCTTAATTATGAGAAGCGCAACACTCAGGTGCAGGTAGGTGGAGAAGGCGGAGCTGACATACGCATCGTGAATTGTTTTGTCACGGTTTTTCTTTCGTTTTCTCTTTAGGCCTTTACCCTTGCCTTTTCGGGATTTTCTGTAAGACAAAGAGGACAACGCAGAGAGATGCCTGAGAGACTGAGGTGTTAACTGAAGTGTTTAGAAAGTCCTTAGCTGATGATTGCTAAAGCCAGCACTAATTAATACAAATCTTTTTTTTATTTTTTATTTACTGTAAATAAAAGAGCCAAACAATCACTCATTCAAAACAGGTTATTGCTTAATTTGATTGTTGTTAGTGGCTGGATGATAACGTATATGATCAGATTATGAGAAAGGCATCAGGCAGTGTTCACATGAGTATATGTAATATGTCTAAAATGGAAAAGTTCCCATGTTTTGAAGTTCAAAGATTGCAACACAAAAAATGCAACAACTTGACATTTTGTTGAAATTGACAAAATTTTACTTTTTGAAGAATAACCTATTAAATGTGTCCTGATATGTTTAGAGATACACCTACACTAATGCAGTTTACTGTAAGCGATTTCCAGACACTCCTGTAGTTTGAGAATGTGATGAATATCAAATGTTCCATGTAAAAACCTGCTTTATTGTCCAACTGGGGTAAAAAAAATGTTTTTTGAAAAACCAGTACAAGGATTTTGCACGTAAGCGATTAAAAGTTGGCAGCTTGTTCTGAAATTTCCCAGATGGATTGAGGACAATAAACTTGGAATTCACCAAAACTGCATCTTTCAGCCTATTTGGGTCAACTCTTTATGGCTGATTCAACTAGTTTCAGATCACAGCACAATGAAAAAAAAAGTTTGTAAAGCACACACCTGGAGTTTCACAGGTGCAGACTAGATTAAAATATCAGGGTGCATGTTCAAATATAAGCTGGGTTGCACAAACTTTTGCTGTAAAGGATATATATACAGCTATACAGAAAACTTTTGTGATACTCAAATAGAAACAATGCTGTGACATGTCTCTATAGACACTGATGGCTACTATATATACAGTGCTTAAAGGCAGATATTTTAAAGCAGAATGTGTAATGGTAAAAAAAAACTCTTTCGACTTCACCATGATGAGTTTTTGGCCTAAGCCGGGGTGCAGGTATGGTATATTCAGAAATTATTATATTTGTGAAACACATTAAAGTGTCAGACTGAGTATTTGTGACCTCAGCAAATGTGTATGTTACAGTATTTGAATGATGAAGACAAAGAGTCTATAGCCATGCTAGCAGCTTTGTGAGGTTGTGCTTTGACCTAAATGATGATGTTTCACAGTTATTATTTTTTCTTTACCATGCTCACCATCTTAGTTTAGTGTGTTAGCATGCTAAGGCTGATGACCTCATTGACCTCATGATGGAGCGATATGAACGGTCAGGGGAATCACTTATCAGAATTCATCCTCACCATGAATGTATTTACCAACTGTCGTGACAGTTCATCCAATAGCTGAGGTCACAAATTGGATGACGCCATTCAATAAGGATAAAATGCTGAAAATGTAATTTTCTTCTTTACTTTTTCAGAATTCAGTTCCATTTCACTGTGGACGCTGGCAGTTAAGTTTCACAACCTCAGCAGGATGACTCACCCTAACAAACCTCCAGAGACCTGTCACTACTGAGAGGTCAGCAGCTAACGTTAAAACTAACATGAAAGTATAAAAGCATTAGAAACAGGAGTTGAACGACCCTGAGACCATCATTTCGTAGGCGCACACCACCAACTCGTAAACAGTTAAGACAAGGTTAAAGAGGAGGTCTGAAAACTAGTCCTTATCTATATGACAGACGACCTGACATTAAACCAAAATACAAGCAACATCCACCCTGCAATAGAAAGATATTAACGACTGTTCACGGAAGGAGGATTAAAGAGACCCTTAGCACACTGTCTTCTGTTGCAAGGAATGGGAAGAACACTTAAGCAAGGACCATAAACACAAAAGTTTAACAGGTCTTCAAAAACACTTATCCATATCAGAGCAACCAGTAACAGGAGTAACAGAAATAAATAGGATGTAAACAGTAAAGACTGGAGGAAAGGAATGTAAAGATGAGATAGAAAAGGGATGAAAGGTGTAAAGGAAAGGTATAGAGAGGGCAATGACCTTGTTAAGTGTCACTCATTCACCTGAATGGATTAAGCTGGTATTCCCCGTGCTCATTACCTGAGAGCTGCATGCTAATCTCATGTAGTAGCTTGTCTGCTGGAATTTGAATGAAATAGTTTTTTTTGTGTGTGTTTGAGTGTGACTGTGTGAAAGAAAATGGAGAGACAGAGGGAAAGGACACGTGGAGTAATGTCAGAAAGGCTGAGAGTTGAAGATGATTGAGAGTGAGAGTTTGTTTGTAGAGAAAAACAGGAAATAGATCAAATCTCAAGTCCTCATTGTTTACCCCTAAAAAAACAAAAAAAACCCAACCTCCATGCAGAAAGAGTTCTGTACTCACTTTTCTTTCTGTTCTTTCACTTCTTTCTTTAACCTGAAAGGCAGGAACAAAACAACCTGGCATTAGATCACAGCGTGCTGTTGTTTCCTGGTAAACAGATACATATCAAGATCATCAGAGACCAGAGGCTCATTATCAGCATCTGTGGGCTCCCATCAATCTTTCCAAATCATGTTATGTCATTGTCCTTTACCAGAAACTGTGATAAAACTGTCTTTCACTTTCAAATGTTTGGCTTAGCAAATGAACCAGATTTGTTGGGAAATAATGCAGTGTACACACTCAATAGACAGGCACACAAAGGGGTGTGTTCACTGATGGATACACACAGACACAGACACACACACACAACTACAATAGCAGGTTGTTGGGTTTGTTTCACTTTTCACCATTTGACGACTTTTGCCGATAACAGTGTGGAGCAATAAATTTGCTGGCAACAGTTATTCAAACGTGTTGAGAAACTGTGTTTCATTCAAAAAGGTCAACTCACGGCCAAGTTTCTATTTAACTGGTACAATAACTGCATAAATATTCTGAATAAAGCATGAAGGTATATGTGTATGTGTGCATATGCACCTGCACATAAAGGACCAGTGTATAGAATTTAGTGGCATCTAGAGGTGAAGTTGCAAATTGCAACTAACTGAACACTGCTGGCATCTGTATCTGACAACCTAGGAAAGAGAATGTAGGAGAAACTATGGTGGCCTTGAAACTCGCAAAAAACGTGAAAGGGCCATCTACAGCGTTGTTTAGTTTGTCCCTTCTGGGCTACAGTAGAAACATGGCGGTTCGACATGACAGGCTCCACAGAAGGCAACCCACGCCGTCTGTAGATAAAAATGGTACTTAAATGTAGATGGTTTAAAGGTATACTGTTTAAAATGGTCACAAAATCAACCCCCTATATAGTAGTTTTCATTGTTAGTGGCGGAGTCCGCCAATCCAATGTTTGATTCAAATTCCCTTCAATGCACAAGAGATTCATAAGAAATGACGCTGCATTTAGTCCAGTGTTACTGATTGTAACTTTGATATTAATGTTTACTGTTTAATCTCCCGTAGCTGTATCAGAGCTGTATTAGGTCACTGCTAATGGCAGAAGTAGCATAAATGAAAGATAACACAAGTACATCAAAATGAATGGAAGGAATGTACCTAATTACTTTACACCACTGGTTATAAGTCATGTGACATTTGTTTCTCGGACTATTTGGAAACATCTAACATGTTGGCAGTGACTTGATGATCTGTTTATAGCGCTTAATGCCTGTGTAAGTATAGTGAAGTAAACAATTTAACACAGTGCTAAATAGAGTGATCACAGTCTCAAAAGTTTTTTTTAGAGGTGCCTTAAAAGTTTATAGCTACATCCAAATGGTTTTACATCATCACAGATAGCAGCAAGTTCAAAGGGACATTTCTGAAACCAGCAAGTAAAAAAAAACGAAACTAAACAAACAACAAAAAACAGTGGCAACAGGACTTGTCCTCAGCCAATTGTCCTCCCTACAATGTTTGTTTGCTTTTCAGATTTCCCGTAAAATTGCATGTCTGTGTTCCTGTGTCATAATTTTTACTAATTCATGTCACACAACTCAAATCTCAGCCACCATAATGAAGTGATCCTGACAAAACATCAGGAAGGGATGCGTCTCATGAAAGTTGACATATTTGTTAGTGATTGGCCTGAATAGTGACGGAATCATTTGGAGAAGACAACATAAAGATGAAATGTTTACTTTTTCCTCGTTTCACTTTTGGAAACCAACCAATTCCCTCATGCCAGTCAAGCTTAAGCGCCAGCACAAGAACATGTCACTAATTCGATCCACATGTAGTTGCAACACTTAATCTCCGACTTTACACCAGGCTTCAACAGATTATATTAACTGCCTTTCACAACAAAAGACAGAATAACAAACTGATCTGTAAAATGTATAAAACAGAACACATTGTAACCCTTATGTCTAACCAGAGGTAGTCGACTTACTGTGACTAGAGGCCACAAAGAGGACACAGTATTTATCTAAGAGATCAATAACTAAAGCTATCACACCTATGTAGTTCCAGAAATGACCTCTACATGCTACAGAAGGAAAACAAAGGATTAGGTAGCACTGTTGTCTCCTCTACTTGAGTAATGTGATGGAAAGAGGATAAAGTGAAGCAATATGGGGGTCTTTTTAAGATCAGTGAAGTAAAAAAAGCAGAGATAAGGTGTAAATGTACCTGATATGCATCTGTTAAATGTGTCAGAAAACCATAACTTTACATGACATTTTGATTGACCTCTGCTTTGCTACACAAATGCATGGTGGTTAGTATTTCTTTCACATTGTGTGTGTGTTGCAGTGTGTGTTTAGGCTTTCTTACCTACACTCACATGCGCTGTGTTCAGTAAAACTCATGAAAATATCATTTTGTTGCCTTTGGGGTTTTATTCTTTTAATCTGTAAAAAAAAAAGAACAAAGAGAAATTGTCACATTGATCCACAGTATTCCTAAGCTTCTTATTTTACATCTAAAAGTCTCAAACTTGTCAGCACAACTGAAGAGATTAAACATTTCAGCAGATGAAACATCAGATGCGTGTGGAGAGATTGTAAGGTTCCTCAAACGAATACATGAAACTACCATAAGTACCATATTTGCATCACATTTTCCACATTGTTTTCCACTGTTTGAGGTTTGACTGATACTCTTTTATTGACGTCTATTTACGTAAACACTAGTGGATGGAAACATTCCTTTTTTTGTACCCATGAACAAGAGAGATTGATAGGGTCTTCACCTCTTATTAGAAATGACACATTTTCACCTCTCACTGGTCCAGATGACAGACTGACTGACTGAGAGCTGAAAATTAAAAAATGGGGAAATACGATGGATTTAACTGCCCAAAGCCATTGAGCAACCAGCTGGGGCACTTGGATTAACAAAAAGGGCACCTATGTCAGCCATAAGGGTTCTTGGAGGGCTCCTGGCTAATCAGAGAGACACTTGAGGAGCCTGTGCAGCTCTGGTGTCACATTTGGGCAAAAATAAAGCATTAAACCCATCCCTGTGAACCCCACTGCACAAAACATCTATTTCTATTGTAGATAAAGCTACTCACCTCCATTGTAATGTTATAGCTGGATGTGGGCATGCACTGCAGCATCTCATCATTGCAGCAGCCGGCGCAGCGTGTCAACACCACGCAGGACGGGATAAAGATGTGCTCCACCTCCTCCGGATACTCCTGCAAAATCTCCACCAGCAGCTCCCGAGGCTGACACAAACTCTTGTTGTACACCTCCATTAAAGGGATCACTGGGAGACAGAGTCACAGTGTACAGGGGTTATAAAATGGCAGCAGAGCTCTAGTCTAAACCATTCACTCTTGAATACTACAGTGCTGTAACAATAACAAACACCTAACAGTAGACGTGAACTAAAAAAGGCTGGCAGGCTCACAGGGGAGTCAGAAGAGTTGAGATAAAACAAATACATGCACACGTGTTGTTCCATTGAGAAGCACTAAGTTTATCGAAGTAAACAGATTTACCTGCTTTTACACACTCAACCAATTTCCCATTGGAATTTACAAGCCCTCTATCTATATATCTGTCTTAAGCTCTGCAATAATCACCAATAGTCGTTTTTTTCACCTTCAGTCTACTTCCCCTCTCTTTCTGTCTTTGCAGGAGTTCTGTTCTTGAAAAAGATATTAGCACACAGACAGGCAACACCTCCAAAATATCACTCAAGGGCCTAGAACAACCCCACCCTGACAGCCCTCTGGGAAGCCAAACAAAATATACTGGGCCTGAACAATATCATGAAGTTCAGTTTCTTGATTGTCCAAATTAGATTGGGCAATGCTGGGATTGTGCAAAATGAAATTGTGGGCCAAGAGGGTGAAATTCCATTCTATAAATGAATCTGGTCACCATAACATTTCCCCAGCTTAACCTCAAACAAGAAGGAATGCTGTACAGGATGGAAACATCCAAGTGTTGGGGTGAAACAGCTCTTGTTTGCTGAAAGGGAGAGTTTGGGGGATACATATGGACAGGGTTAAACAATTAAATTGTCCACCAGGAGGCGATAATTTCCCTTCAATGTCAAGGTGAACCTCAAACCAGCCCTTTTTTATTTTGGATGTGTGCCAGCCAGGAAGCCCAGTGCAGACTGTATTCCCACGGTGCCCTATGGGACACCTACCGTCATGTGGACCTCTTTCTGTTGGCTTCGGTATGTGGGCACTCTGCAAGTAAAAAAAAAGCAATCTGTTAGTCACAGTAGATTGTGCAAGAGTTCGGAAAAACACTGTGCATGCCTTTCACTTATCCACAGTTGCGCAAAATATATATTTACATTTTGACATTTCTGTTGGCTACTGCCAGAATTGAAAAAACACATTATGTATGTTATCTTGGGCTTTACACAATATAGGAGGACTAAGAGTCAAATGTTCATACTAGGTCTTCTATAAGCATAGAAAAATATCGTTAATACAGTTTTAAAGAGCACGATTCTTATCCTACACCACATCTGGGAATATGTTAATCAATGTAGCGTTTTCAAGTAAAATAGTAGTTATTAATATTTGTATCAACATTTAATAAATCTACTTAATGAAGTTGCCTGTGTGATTATTATCATTATCATACAGCCTGTTATATGTTGTGTGTATGGCCAAACATTTGACCAGATCAATGTGCCAAACCAGCTGACCTGAATTCTCAGCTACATGACACAATTGTTAAATTACGGTGTTGGTTTTGTTTCAGTTAATGTGTGCCTCGGCTGCCTCTTGGCAACTCGGATTAATGACTGTTGCCATTAAAACCGGTAAGAATTCCAGCCTGCTACTTTCCCTCACAGGGGGTAGCTGTCACTACAACAGTCGCACCACAAAGGATTTTTTGTCAACCATCCATCCGTGCGCGCATTACGCACAACTTTATCTCGCCTTCACACACACACACACACGCTCCCTTTCTTACACACGAGCGCGCGCAATATATCGCCAATGTTGCGTGAGACCCAGTCCTGTAGCACCAGTTTGTATTCGGTGAGAAATCTTTTTCCATTTCTTAATGAAAAGTTTAGGGGGGGTGTTGGTGCCGCAGTCTCCTCCCCCTTCTGGTGGCGTGAGAGAGTCCAACCTTGTGGGCTGAGAGACCCCAACCCCCCCCCAAAAAAACACGATATACTGTATTATTAATTGATGGGTGTCAGGCTGCGAACATCGGCCCCTAAACCTTGTGATGATAGGCCGACTGATTATTAGCAGTTGAGGCAGCATCATGATATTAAGCGTTGATTGGGTGGCTTAGCTGTCATTAAATCAACAAGTTAGTTAAATAAACACTTAACTGGACTCTGGAGGGGGACTATTTCATTAACTTAGGCATGAGATGCTCGAGAGAGACTTACGTCTCGACCTTACGTGCAACCTAAAACATCCCTCCTTCTCTGAGGGGGCAAACTCCTATTAGAAATCATCCTTGCTGTCAGATATGCATCCCCCCTAATAAAGTTGAATGTTGTTGTATTTTTTTTTTCACCTTGAAACCTTTGCTCAAAGCCTGCCTGGGCGCACTGCACTCGATTAATGATTATATGGAAAACGATTTACAGCGCGCTGTCAAACAACCATTTAAATTCTCGTTGTCAGCCGGATTAATATGTGAAGTAATGCTGGTTTTGTTTTGACACGGAGTGTTGAGTGTGACAAAGTAAAATCTCTTATTGAAGCGGACTAACAGTGAGAGTAGTCTCAGTGCCAGAAGTGAACCTGCTCACACGTCCTAATTCAGAATGGAGCCACTGCGCCTTTAAAGCGTCATAATATCTCCAAGGTGGTTTTAGAACAGGCCTGCAATCACCCAGCGCCAAACTTCACAACATTATTTAAAAACCATCACGTATACCGCATTTGCAACACAAAAAGCGCACCACCCACGAGTGTGGGGGTTAGGTTTATATAGTGTCGGCTATGCGTAATGGCTGTTTAAACCTCCCCAAAGCCACTAAACATTTCAGCTTGTTTAAACACGAGCGATGACCTAGCCAGAGGAAAGGCAAGGACGAGCTACACATTAATGACCAGTGGGTACATTTCGCAAATAGAGGTCGTTTTTTCCCCCTGTTTTTATCCACTTTGCTCTTTGCAACTCACCTTGACAGCTGACAGCGTCAAAAATATTAGTGTCAAACTGTCAATAAAGTTCATGGTGTTGGAAATCCAATCCAAAGGCAGGCGACGTGTTAAAATCCAAGAGGCCAATGTGGCAATTTGTTCTCAAAACACACGTACAACAACACAAGTGGACCGGCTACAACTTCTCTAAATAAGGGGCAGGGGGTTGTAATGGCAAATCCATGTTGGTCCCGGGGTCGCAGCATACAATCCTTTGCGCATAACGTCTTCCTTCTCAACTGTTGCCAATGATTTTCAAGATATCCAGAAACACGAGAATCCAAGACGCAAAACGTCTCACATTGTTCCGCAGCAGACCTTTATTTTTTTGCAATGGAATGGCAATCCACATTACAAAAATAATCCCATGCTTGTTGCGCCAGCCGTCTCCGTGTATCTGTCCATTGGAAACTTGTAGCCTACTCCTATGTGGAACTTGAACCCATGGACCAGGATGACGTTCAGTGAAAAAGAAAACCGCGCCGAGAGATACGCGTCCCACAAAACTTTGTCTCTGTGCTCTGGGATTCTTTTTTTAATTCCTCTGTCAGTGCGCACTAAGCGGCTCAGCTCTCTCTGTTAAGACACAACGCGTCCACCTCTGTCTCGGTCTCTCCATACTGTGGCTCTGTAGTGGGACTAGCCTACGAGCAGTGGATGATTGGACGATCATTAAAACAGGGGAGGTGTGTCCTCTATGGGCTGACATACAGCACTGCGAGCTACTCTCAA